CTCACACTTTGTAAAAAAAAAAAAAAAGGTACTTTTTACAACGTGTATTGCAAGTCTATTTTGTTGTACTGTAGAATCATGGTCATGGCTGCTTCTCTTTCTGGGTATAGATATAATCAGTATGTGCTGCTAGTGTTCTTCTCGTCAAACACTCTTCAGTCGTCAATTCTTCTCCAACTCCTGCACAAACATCCCCCGCACCGACCTTCTCTGGTCCACCATCCTACGAATTGTAAAACAAATAAATAAATTATTTAATGAAAAATAAACCATAATATAATAATAATTAATTCAAAGATGGAGGTTAATATTTAAGGAACTGATCAATCACGTACCCCATGTCCAGTTTTGACCGGAAGAGGGTTGTCGTCGGAAAATGAAGGCTCATGCACGTCGGCGCATGTTAGAGTGAAGCACAGGAGAAGGCCGGCGGCTATCAGGAAAAGGATGCAGGCTTTAGACATTTTCTTTGTTTTCATGGAAGTTGTAAAACAGACACAAAGAGCAGGGAGTAACTGTAGGATGAATTTATAGAGGGGGTGTTGGGGGTGAAAGGGGGCAAAAGTGGAATTACAAAACAAACTGATGACTTACCCAAAAATAACAAATGCTAAAAATATCAAACAGCCCCAAGTTTGAGGATTGGCTTGGCACACTGCTAGTCCTGTAGCGGTTGAAAATTATGTAATCTTCCACAACAAATGTGATTTTCCTGGTAACAAAGACTCCTGAGCATTCTTTGTTTACCGTTGAATTGAAATATTTTAATAAAAGATTTATTAGATTTTTCAAATATTTCAAAAACTATTTCAATCAGATCTTGTTATTAGCAATCTCAATCCCCTCCTGTGCACCATAACCCTCTAAATGTAACATTATGAAATAAGCTGTTAGACGGTACATGCCGTTTGGCACATGTTAAACCTCATCACGTGTTAAAACTCTGTTAATTATAGAGATTTGAATAATTTTCACTAATCTCCAAAGTCCGTTAATTATAGAGATTTGAATAATTTTCACTAATTTCCAAGCATCTTCAAGCCCTCAATCATCTATCTGGGTTATTACTTGTGCAACTACACAATATGTTATGATTTCATACACAACTAAATCCAAATAAAAATGATATGCTCATGATTGTTGGACGATGGCTTGGTATTGGTTGGAGAGAGAAACTAGTGAAGATCATCCAAATCATATTAAATCAAATGAAGCTCGCTCAAAATTGCTCATAAGATGAAGTAACAAACGTACTTTTAACTCATGATTTTACAAATATCAAAACTTGTACTTATTAGTAACAATAGATTGCTTAATTCATTGTTCAAAGCACAACTTGAGTCGTTCGTTGTTCGTTATAATTACGATGATTTTTGTTTCAGCCTCAATATGCAATTGTCAAGATTGACCAAAAACAAGCAAATTACTTGTACCTTCCTCATTTTTTAAAAAAGAACGCTTTAATTTGGAAGATTAGTATGATGTTCAAGGATGACGGGCAAACGCGTACCTAAAATTATTACTCCGTAGTTTCTAAACGGGGGCTGTCATTTGCGCTTCACAATTATTCTCTAGCGCTCCCCCTCCACCCCTTTTATTGAATAATTGAAATGACATATTTATCCTCACTGTATTTTTCCTCTCTAAGCGATGTGGCGTTGATATTCATAAATTCTCTCAAATCCATCAATGGAAGCCTCGTCACCCAATTCAACCCAACAAATCCTTCAATTCCAAGACCCACAACCAAGTCCTCTCCAAAGCCACACACGGTCTTGATGTGGGATGTTCCACTTTTGGGCGGAGACCAGAGAGCAAATGTGATACTCAAATTTCTTTGACTAGGATGGAATTTCGTTCCAATGCTTCTCTATGGCGAAAAGAGTTCAACGATGGAACTTATTGATTTCTTTTTCTACCTTTTGTTTTCTTCCATTTCTTTTTGTCCCTATCCACCTCTGTAACTTATATATAACATTTTTATACATGTTATTGTGTATTTCTCTGTATACGAGGGACGAAATCATTCACACTATTCAAAGCCTTGAAACTAAACAACCTAAGAGACTCATAAGAGGGAAAACTTTCTCAACCATGCACTACACTCATCAAGAACATAGATCCAATCTTTTACTTGATTTTGTCTGTCTTGTTAACTAAATGAAGCATTAGGTTTAATTAGTCCAACCATTGGCATCAAAGCATAAAAATCAGTCAGTTACATTGTCAAAAGGCTGCTTCAAATACAACTTCGGTGGGGATCCATGGATGAAAGCAAGAAGCTCAACCTAGTACCAGCACTGGAGGAACCGTCATCTAAAGAACGTTCTCCAGTTGATTAAAAACAGTTAAGAGTTCTTACCTGACGAACAATAAAATTTATAATTTGTTGATTTTCTCCATAATAAACACGTTATAACTCTTCTTCACAACGAAACTAATAGTCCGACGCATATAGCAAGTAAAGAAGAAAATCAATCTACTTCTGATTTCAATTTTTCCCGTAAAGGTTTCAGAATCGAGATGACATACAGAAATACCTCTTCACAGTAATATGAGGGCAAATCTCATCATAAAGAATGAAATCTCAGAGATTTACAAATATGAACCAACTGATAAATTCAAATTTGTCCAACACGGTAGAAGAATTGAGAAATTTGCAGATAAAATTATTCATATTGGAATCTGGAATACGAAAAGAAGATGCTATCTTGGATAGTATTTGTCACAGATTCATTAAGGTATTCCAAGATGTAGTTTTACTTCAACCAATAACTCCTCTCTACTCCTCTCGCCAAATTGTTATCAAATTACAATTTAGTCTCCTTCACGGATACGTTTAAACCGAAACAGAATTAGTGTGAATAGTTGAAAATATAGGTAGCTTAGAGTATGATGTTGCAAACATGATGATGGAAGAGGCAATGCTCAAAAGACGAGCAGGCACCAGAAACTTAGACTCATTCTTAAAAAATGAAGATGAGGATGACATGCTTATACGTAAGTAGGAAGGAACAGGATTCGCAATTTGGAAAATGCTACAGAATCAGAAGGAACAGGATTTGCATTTTTGAAACTGAGACAGGAAAAATAAAGCATAGCGAAAATACCTGCACGCTGCTGGACAGATAAGTACGGCACATATAATACATTCAAAAGCTTGAACAAAGCGTCTAAAATAACAACAGTTAACATGATTCCAGAAAAACTGTCAATAACTTGAATGGATAAACGTATACCTCCATCAGAAAAGAGGCACTGAATTTGTTCCTCTTCTACCCATAACAGCTACTATCTCAAACTCAAAGCCAATGGTTCTTCCGCAACACAAGTGCACTTGCTGCGAGAAAGGTAGTGCTGCTAAAAAATTACAAGCCTATGACTACAAAACATGAGTAGGTCATTATTCTATTTCTCCCAGTGAAAATAGTCACATACAACCCAGCAGTTAACTAGAGGCTTCAAGCAACAATATAGGGTTTCTCCAAATGAAATTTGACATCAATGCTTTCCAACCAATGCTAGACACAAGTGGGCCATATGAATATACTTCTACCGTATTTAAAAAATTTGCTCCTCTCTCTTTATCTCTTATCTGTAGTTACAACTACATATGCATTAGGCACTGAATACAAGGACTGGGTGAAGTACCAACTAGCAGCTTTGATTTAAGTCTTTAATTCACTTTCTAATTTTTACTTCAAAATTAAGTTCTATGTTATATGGACAGAAGCACGCGTGTTAGTGGCATCTAGGTGTCATTAACCTAACATCCAAATCTTAGGGCAGGAGAACAAGGATAATATGAAAATTTGCTCCAAATAAGCCCCATACTCTCTGTAGATCGAAAGGTTCTTAGACATTATCATACATCAATTACAGTTTTAAATTCTTTTGTGCCAAATAACAACGTACTACCAAATTTTTAAATTTATACATGTTCATTTTCTATTATTTTTCAAAATATGTATTAAAAATTAAACATTAAAGAAATTTCAATAACATAACCAGATGTTTGTTTCACTAAAAATTATAGAAATAAAATAATTGTGTGGAAAATGAATTTGATTTTTGATACTCTCAGAAAGAAAATTCAAATCCAGGCATAAAAATAGACCTCTAATATTCATAAATGTTGTGTTTGATCTGTGGAGTAACAATTACAAAATAAGAAGAGAGTATGATCATATCCTCCTATCAATTGAATAACAAAATTACCATCAAAATACTCATTTCCCATAGTCAATACTATTAATTTAAAATCAAACATGCACAAATAAATCCATAAACTACATCATCCAAACATTCAAGAACAATAAAAACAAATTAATACACCAATTCCAGAAAGTTACCTGCCTGCTATTTGCCTGTGGGATTTCCTGGGCTTTGCAATTTCCCTCTCTTCAATTCTCTCTGCGCTTCAATCAGTAAGGGGCCTTGGGGCTTTTGGCAATTCTCACTTCTCAGCCGACTCTTTTTATTTGGTTTTGCTTTTATAAGGTGTATGAAAGGACCACTTTTCCATCATTTACAATATCCTACAGTCCAAAATAAAGGAAGGAAAAAAAAAAAACTTCGGCGCCTTTTGGTTCCTGGCGCTTAGGGTGACCAGTTATGCACCTGGGCACATAGCAGCCGAAAAGCTTGAGCCTGCTGCCTAGGCGTGGTTTTAATAACAGCGGATAGTTGGGACAAGATTTTCATCAGTTGAGTATGTGACAATTGCATTATTGATATGAACTTGTGCAAAACAATGTTCTAATGGTTAACAAACAAAAGAATTTCACATAAGCTTATTGGCATTACAAAACATGCCATTCAGACCACCCAAAACAAAAAGCATTATTTTAAACTCCCATACTTTCCGTAAAGCACTTCCATTTTAAAGGCAACCAAAGTTTTAACAGAGGTAATGCATTGGTTCAAAACCTTACTTACTTTTGATAGACTATTTCCCTTTTTTAATTTATGTAACACATTCTCTGATCGACAATCAAAACTGCTTTCTCAAGTTGATTCAAAAATTTAAGTAGCAAATATACATCAGAAAAAAAAATCCAAGCCACCTAGCAAGAACACCATCTTCACTACGACATTTTAGGAGAACAACAATATAAGGTTAGGTCTATTCAAGTTCAAATTAGAAAGCAACATCAAACACTGACCAGGATATGCTGCACATAATAAAGTACACTCAAAAACAAATATCTAATCCATGCTGTAGATGATTATGAGATTTGAGCAAGAATAAAGAATTTACTAGCGAGCAACTAACTACCAAACTTTCCATCTTCACCAAGTTCCATGTCTTGAAGTTCCTCATAGTGACCAGTCCTATGAGAACCGTTCCGGTGATCTCTCTTGTGTCTCCTCTGTCGGCTTTCACAATCTGGTTCAGAAGTACCACCATGCCGATCCATCTATCACAACAAAAGACACCATCTTGTTCACTGTTCAAATTTCATGATGAACACTATAAATCCAAGGAATGGTTGCAATACATCTTCATACATAATCAATGGGGAAAAAAAAATTATACCTGCTTATATTTTTTGCGGTCAGAGCCATGTCTATGAGAAGTCTTAGACCCATCTTTTTCATCTTCATCAAAACTCAAGTCATCCACAGAACTTACGTGCCGTTTCCTATGCTTCTTATCTCTGTCTTTTCCTGACCTTCTGTTTCCTTCCAAAACATCAGTCTCTGTTCTATCAGCATCATCACTTTCTGTTCCATCCTTCATAGATCGCCCTTTACCTGTTTTGCTTTCAACTCTTTCTTTCTCCCTCCTGTGTTTTGTCTTCCTCTTTTCTCTATCATTTCCCTCTTTATCCTTCTTGGTCTGCAAAAGAGGGGTGATTATTAGAAACAGTAACAATAGAATGAAAAAGTACCCAAAAAAATTAGAGGCTATCTGTAAAAACCCACTGTTGAAGATTTACTGGATTAATCAGCGGGAGTAAAATCCTCCAGCATTGATGTTCTTTCCTATTATTGAAGATTTACCGTTACTAGAGAAATCAGTGGAGAAAAATCCTCTAGCATTCATGTATATCCTCTAGCCTTCACCATTGTATTGTGAACGAAAAGAGAGAGTATAATAAAAGTGATGTAGCCCTTCAGGCTTTGTGTGCCATTGATGTAAGCCCTAGTTGCTAAACCATGTATATCCTAGCCTTTGTGTTCTTCATACTTTATTTATTTATTTATCCTTCTTGGTCAGATCTGTCTCTAGTTCTGCCACCTAAAACCCTGCATAGGCATAAGCCACAGGATGACCACTAGGTAATAGCATTTTCTTAAAAAGCCAATGACCAGGTTTGCTAAGGTCCTGATGACGACTAGTCTTTGACTACTTTTATACAAGCATGTGTTTCTGTAAGTCAATTACATCAAGACCGATTCAAGTCTGCATAGGAAATAAAGTTACAAAAAGCATTAATTTTTTCAAACAACACATCTAAAAGTAGCCACGTCCAACAATCTTGGAAACAATAAGAACACACCAAAAATTGCCCAATTTTTTCTTAAGAAAAATTGAAATTGGTGACCATCATCCTCTAAATATAATAATTTTTATTATATAATAAAAATTAATAATTTTTATTACTCCGTATATTGACATACCATCATCCTCTAAATTATGCGACTTTTATTTTAAATTAAAAAGTAATTAAAATTTCAATAACTGTCCTATTCAATAATCATGTTTATGCCATGTCTACTCAATCAATGTAAGCTTACATCAAGAATCTGCATTAAAAAAATAAATGATTATGGATGAATTAACAAACACAATACAAAATGAGGTTCCATGATGTAGTATTCATCTATAATATTGCATTGATTAGTGAAACTAAGAAAGGTTAAATTCCAACTTATAAGTCTAGAGAGTAGCTGTAGAAGCAAAATAATTTAAGATAAGTGCAACCAAAATAGGATACAATATAAAAAATAAAAAAATAAAGCCAAATTTCTCTGACCTTCCTACCGTTTACAAAACTAATATATATTTTAACAAACTAATACTCCACTTGACAAACCTTTGTTTCAATTATAAAAACGGATAAAAAATCTTCTATTAGACTGCAAGCTTTATCACCTTTGAACAGTCTCCACACCATGGCATTCCATACGATTCAGTCAGCGAACCACATCACACATGACCAGAAAGTCTCAATCAACAACAACATTCCTATGTTTCCATTCCGCTCTAACTAAGGCCATAGCCTCAATCGACTCACATACATTATATTACCTAGAGAATAAATAAATTCAGCACATATTTAAAGTCTAAAATCCAACCTATGCATTCGAATTCTGACTCTAATATATAAGGAAGAAAGCAGCAATAAAACAAGAAACATTAAGCACGTATAGGAACATCTTACAAGTTCTGCCAGGCATATTCTGGGTTAAATTGATAAAGTGAGAAATAGAATCACTTATGATATTCAAAAATTTCGGCCTAAATCGTGTGATTTAGAACCTATGTTACCCGGACTCGGGTACGGGTGTCGGACACGGGTACGTGTCTAAAGGTCGGATCCACCAATCTATTCAATTGTAGGACACGGGGACACGGAATAAAAGTGTCCAAAATTCGGACACGGGTACTTGGACACGGCATACAAAATATTAAAAAATGAAAAATTATATTAGTGATAGTCTAATAAATTTAATCAGATAGGCAACTAAGCATGGCATAAGGCAGCAACTAACAAGATAACTTAGATAAGTAAGAGATGATGTTAATTCATAATTGTTAAATAAGTTAAATAACATGAAGAAAACAGAGAGGGAAAAAAAATATATAATATAATATAATAAAATTGGGGAGAAGATTTTTCATGAGTACTATTTTTTTTTTTTGGAAGGTAAATGTATTGTATTGAAAGAAAGAATTTACAGCAGTCCAAAGCCTCAACCAATGGGCCAACCCATAAGTTAAACAGCCCATAAGGTAAATATTGTGTTGAAAGAAAGAATTTACAGCAGGCCAAACCCTCAACCAATGGGCCAACCCATAAGTTAACTAGCCCATAAGGCCTTACAGATAGATTAAAGACGTATTCAGTCTAGGGTTTCCTAAACTAAAGAAGTCTAAGCCAAAGATCATCCGGTTCCAAGCGGTGACGCAGGTGACGCACTAGCCACACCGTGCACCACCGTGCTCATCGGTCTGGAGGCTCTGCCGGCGGCCGTATGAAGGAATCAGGCAGATCCCACGAGAGTATCATTCTCCTAGAACAATCAGAGTCTTTAACCACCATAGATGATAGTCTCTGCCTTATCAATAATAAATAGGGGTATTCTTGTCAAAAACCCACCACACACACACAGTCTCACACACACACATACGCACAAGAGAGAAGAAAGAAAAGAAGTCTCAGATCTTTTGAGGCGGCAAAAACGCAACTTAATACGGAGTACTACACATTATTTTCTAATTTTTTCATCGTAAACAAATGCTTTAATTATAAGGTTAAAAATGTAAATTTACACTTATTTCAAACGGTCAATTGTGGTGAGTGGGTTATAGCTGGTAACCCACTAACCACATATTTATTATTATATATATACCATATATATATACTACTACCATATATATATACACACGTTTCTCAATGACAATGACAGGCAGCTGTCTGCTGAAATTTATTTACGCGTCAGAACGTGAATAACACGCTCCAAATAGGGTAAGTTCCGATGCAAAACCAACGCGTGAAGAACCCTCGTCTTCTCCAAAACCCCCTTCCTGAAAATCGCGGCGAAACCAGTAATTTCCGACCACTGAAATAAGGGTTTTCTTCAACGGCTGTGTCCGATCTTAACCGTACAAGGTCGGACGCATATCCCGTATCCGTATCCGTATCGTGTCGTGTCGACACGGACACCCTCGCCGGAAACAACAAGTCCAGGTAACACAGTTTAGAACTCCTACAGGTTAGATCTAAAATATTAAAAGAGGTGTAAGAGCTAAGAAGTTGGAAATTTGGGAAAGAAAACGAAAAAGAACGAGGAATTCATATTTTATAACTCCTTGCTGAAAGTGGCCATTATTGTCACGACCCGCCCACGCTGTGTAGATATTGTCCGCTTTGCACACACTCTCAAAACACGTCACATAGTTAGGGGATGTCCACACATTCAAGTCTGGGTAACTTCTTCGCCCGAGGCGATGTAGGACGTCACAAATCACAATCACCCCCTCTTGGGACCAGGCATCCTTGTTGGCCTGACCCACATGGGCTTGTGCACGCCCTCCCATTTCCAGTTGGAGATTGGCTCTGATACCATTTGTCATGACCCGCCCACATTGTGTAGATATTGTCTATGTAGCATACTCTCCTATCGATGCTCACGTTGTGAAGACTCAGCAACTCTCACACTCCCACCCACCCCCCCACAACACCAAAGGCGGCAATATAAATTAGCAATGTTATAATGGGACACCACAATTATAGCCATTAAATAAATTAGCACTATTAGAACGGGAGGAAGGGGAACATGACCAACCCTTATACAATAGTTAAAAGGAAAAAGGTCTATATATTTAAAACCATCTTGGAAAACTTTTAAATCTCAAATTGGGATTGCACTAACAAAACGTCGGCTCAACCTATATTTGGTTAGGCTTGGACAAAAGTCTTGAACAACCAACACAAGAATGAACCCTAATCAGTTCATCTCCCAATGCATGTGGAGGTACTCTCTCAGCCGCATCGTCAATTCCACTTCTCCGCAAGAATCACTAAACACACCAAATGCCAAGAAACACTTTCTCACTCAATTGCTTTTCAACAAGTGTCGTTGATATACAGATCAGGGTTTCAAGTTGTAGTTCTGAATATGAGTGAACATGTATCAATTGTCTTTCTAATGATTATGTATTTAAAAATCTCTGAATAATTAACCTAGATGTTAGAGCTTTAATGACAAATTGCATATGCAATGCATGATCGAGAATTAATCTGAGTTGAAAGTTCTTTATTCATGATGTTTCAAAAAATTAGTCACTTTAGCAAATTATTTTCAATTAACACCACCATTGCACTTGAACATCAAAAATTGATGGGGTGAACAGCTTAACACCATCGTTAAATTTTTTAGCCATAACGAAGCACATTTAATAGTCTCTAGAATCTTTATCAATTTTAAAGCTTCAATTGAAGGGCAGGTTGGACTTGAACAATAACAAGAAAGCAACAGCCAACAGCCTATGAACAATAACAAGAAAGCAAACAAATAAAATATCAGAAGATATTTTTGTATTAGAATGAGAGGGAACAGTAGGGAAACCTTCTCTTCCCAGCGCTTTCTCTCCTTCTCTTTTGCCTTCTCTTTCAGTTCTGTGATGTATTTCTCAAAGATCTCCCTAAAGTAGCTCTCTTCAGCGATGAACCTGTATAATGGCATGACAAGACAACATACTTTTTGATGAGCAAAGGTTATCAGATATACATTTATTTATAAGAAAATTAAAAATATTAAAACCAGAACAGCAGGGTTCAAATATAGTACAATCTACAATGTCAGATGAAATACAAACAGCTTTTTGTGTCGCATGATACATAACATCACACAAGAACTTGCCAGCTATCAAAATGTAAACAGACAATGCTATGTGCATATGTATGTATTTCTATTTAACATATACACACGCATAGTTTGCGTTTGTGGCTTAAGTTTTTTTTACACAAATAACAACAAAAACTATCTTCATCCATCAACCCTTACTGCAACATTATAAACATGGATCATCACTTAATATATCATGAATTATGTAATGCTAAGAAGAACAAGTAATTTTTTATGAATATACACATTTTTTCAACCATTTCAAAAGCAAGTACAGGGACATGATTCTAATTTCTAAAGGTCCAAACAGGTTTCAGAAACATGTGGCCACTTTTTTCAGGTTAACAAACACTCGTACCTGTGCAAAGTTATCAGTGTGCTAACCAAATCAACCACTAATAGACACAATTCCCATAAGTAGCATAGAATTCTGGTAACTCCAACGAGGGAATACAGTGAAAATTTATAGAAAATTATAACCATATAGGTACCAACAATACTTACCATGGAAAAGAAAATTAACAAATGTAGGATGATATCAGTGAACAAGTTCTATCATTTTGTATTATGACTTAAAATCACTTTTCTATGACTAAAAAGTAATACCAGTTCTCTAATCTATCCTCAAAAAGTGGTTTGTGATCCTCCCATTTCGAAGACGCATTTATTTCCTGCAATCAAAAATAGAAAAAAGATTTGAACAAAGTTCTTGCATTGCTCAACCATCAAAAGTGAGGGTAGCAATATTTTTGGGTAATAAACAGCTTGCTACACCTTTGAAGTACACAATAAATCATAGAAGTCATCTCCAGCCCTTTTACGTTTTTTAGCTTCTTTCTCCTCCTTCTCCCTCACTCTTTCTTGTAACTCATTAAACGCAAGCTGCAAAGAGGAAAAGGACACATCAGATTGTTCAAAAAAAAAAAAAGAAGTTAGAACTGTAAAAGAAAAGTAAAAGCCTTCACCAACTCAACACACGTCATGGTGGAAAAACAAACTTCAAAGCATTAGTCACTGTGTCAGTTAAGGTTGACAGAAAAAAGGGAAAAAAATCCCGACCTTCCACGAAACTCCTATTCTGCTCCACCCACAAGCTCCTAATAAGGCACAGCTATCCAAACCTACCTTGGACGCCTAGTACAACTATCTTGCCAGCCGTCCAACTCCACCCAGACCGACTTCAGCATTATCTAAAATGCCCTAAAAAGAGACATCAATAAAGCAAAATATGATTGTCTCCTTCCTACCGTGGCATATGCAATGCCAATCAAGCACTTTATCCAAAATCGCTAAATTGTCTATGTTTGAATAGTTTCCAATGCTTCATCCATGCAAAAGGGTAACTGGAAAGGCATTTTAGCGTACCAGATGCTTTTGCAAGTAATATGATATCCAAAATGCCTGCCCCACACAGATCCTTATATAACCCCAAACCAGCCATTCGAAGGCCTTCTATCTCCAGACATCCTACCCCTACATTGACAGAAACGTTAAACAACTCAGGAAAGAGTCTATGGGTTCCATCTTCCAACTAAAATGCAGATAGTCATCACACTTGAAAAAGCTAATTAATCTGCAATACAGTCTCTATCTCCACTACATAGCAAAATAAACCAGTAACACTACTTTCGAAGCAACATCTCCACACCAGACGTCATGCCAAAGCTCACCCTTTCATCATTTTCCACCAAGAAGCTAAAACATTCAGAGAAATCCCACCACAATCTCTTTGACCATTTTCGCAAATTTATAACAAATTTCCTTGTCCATCATCAGGAGGCCTTCATCCTAAATCTGTCCCTCTAAATTGACTTAAAAAGAGAAGTGCTCCAAAAGGTCAAGGCATTCCCTTGGACACACACTCAGATAAAGCATTCTTCACAGTTTCATGCTTTAAAAAGGAAAGCCCAAAAATTACTTATCAAAAAAAAAAGGAAAGCCCAAAAAAGAGCCACTCACTATATACTTCTCACATGAGTAGAAGAAGAATTGAATCAAAAGCATCCTTAGACGCATTGATCCATATCTAGAATTGTGTGACAAAAACTCTTTAAAATATCAGATTCAGAAGGGCAGTCACCATACCGACCTAATATGATTGTAAAAGTTATGTTTTTGATTTTGGAGGCGCATCAAGAGACCAAGAGAACAAGAATTTCTGAGGTGTCATCTCTGTGGTGATGAGGACAGACATATTTGAAGCCTTGAGGGTTTAGGGTTTTTTGGCTTCTTTATAGGCTATAGTTACTGAGGACTTCGAAGTTGCACCTTTAAAGCTGAGCTGAAGAAAAAGTTTAGGCTTCTTTGACCAAGGATCAACATTCATATCAAGTCTGCCATTTCCCTCAGCTTGGATACAGAAATACAACAAAAATAAGAATTTTTTTGAAAAAGCGTGAAAACACTTGGGAACATAAAATAAAATCTATTGATAAATGAAGATAAGCAGAACAATTGATTGATTGAATATGCTTCAGGTCTACACATCTATTCAGACAGTAGAACACTACCGTGGACTCGAGGAGTAAAAGAAAATGCATATAAGACATTGAGATAATGTTAAAGATTCTTTACTAGTAAAAACAAGCATAAAGATTTGAAAACTGATACTCTCAAGCATACCACTATTACATAAGAACTGATGAACATTCTAGTTCTTTACTAGTAATAACATTAGGAAGGCTACTTATCAAAATAAATGACATTAGGAAGGCTACTCAAACCTTCACAGTGGTTTGTGATCTTATGATAACAAATATGTATTTTAGAAAAAGGAATAACATATAGTGGATCACAATTCAAATTTTCTACCGCTAGAAGAGCAAATAAACTAACACGCAAGCATTGTACAGTTGTTTTAGTAGATAGCTTGACATGCAACATAGGCTGAAGGTTTTAAATGTAGGATATCAAATCCAAGAACTGTGTGGTGTAATTAAAATGGGAAAAACCTCAACTATTCAAGTAAGATGAAAAAAAGAAACAATACGAAATTTCGAAGATGAAAAACTAGTGCAATTTAAAATAGGATGGCAAAATAAAGGTTTCGATGAAAAAATAAAGGTTTCGATGAATCATCCCATACCCATGTTATGACGTCACTATGTGCGATTTCACCACACTAGGGGCGACTTGTGGGGCGATTTGTGTTTTGTTAGGTTGGGATGAAATCCTTTCTGGAAATTGCAAGATTACCAAGAATCTCGCTTGGTGGGGAAGTGAAGTCTGCAGTTCCTCACCGAGGATCGTCGTTGTACATTGACGGGGAGTCCGTCGGAGGAAGGAAGTCAGTCCTCTCCTCTTGTTTGGTCGGAAGATTTGATAAGGAAGTGGGGAGTTGTGATCGTGTGAAAGAATGGGCAGCGCGGGCTTGGAATACGACTTGTGGAGTGGGGGTAACACTGTTATCCGATTCACTGCTTCTTTTCCGGTTTCCTTCTCAGGCAGAGGCCAAACGCGTGTTGAAAAAAGGGCGACAACAGTGGGGTTCTGCTACTTTGAGGATTGACGTGCGGTCCTTCCGTGTTGGTTGTTGTGGCGTTCTTAGTGATAAAGGTCTCAAGCAGATCAGGCTGTTTGGCCTCCCTTTGCATCTTTGGTGTCATGCTTTGTTCGTCGAAGTGGGAGAGCTTTGTGGTGGATACGTGAGATCTGATGCTGATGAGACTAAGGATGCTGAAAGCGTTCGGATAACAGTGAGATCTGGCCGTGATTGTCCAAAGTTCATGTTTATTAACGACGACACCTTTTGTTACAAGGTCGCGATTTGGGAAGAAATCTCGTCGGAGCTTGTTCCTTCAACGGAGAGTCTTGAAGGTAGTGATGGATCTCATCTTATGTCGGAAGAGAAATGGAATGAGATTCTCAGTAGATAAAAAAGAGGGGGTTCTCGAAATTCAGCAGTGGCTGAAGGATTGTGAAATTCAGCAAGCAATGAAGTTCATAGGAGGTAGAAGACGAGGGGATCTTCACGCGCCGGCCAAACGCGTCGTTGATGAGCAGAGAAGGAGTACACTTGGAGATCAACGGGGTGCTCCTCCAGATTCGGCCTTATCCTTATCTCTTTATGATAAGGTAGGGGACGATTTGTCTTTTTGGGCTGAGGATGGCGGTGTGATGGGCCAGAAGATGTCAAGACAGGCCAGGAAGACTGGGCTTGGTCTTAATCTTAGGCTCATTCAGCCTAAACCCAATAGAGCGAATTTTGGTTCTGGGCCTTTTCGACGAGTACAAAAAGGGCCGCTTAAATTCAGGCCAAGTGGGCGGATTCAGGTTGGGCCTAATAGAATGGTGCGAAAAGGGCCAAACTCTTTATTTATCTCTTTCCCAAACACTAAACCTGGCCCTAAGCCATTTAAAGAAGTACAAGCCCATGCTAAGCCTTCGACTCATTTGCTGAAACCCGAGCGGAAGATGTTGGATGTCGGTCGCCATGGATCTCGGTGGACTCGGACTGAAAAACAGAAATGGGTTGCACGATCTCACACTTCATTTTCAGGTTTGAGTTCTGATCATTCTCAAAATGCTCTCTCTACTTCTACTTCTTCTTCTTTGGGTGGAGTGGTGAATAATAGGGATGTTGTGGAGGATGTTTCGAATCAACAGAGGTGTCTTATTGGGTCTTCAGGTTCATGGTGTGATGGGTCAGAGTTGGATGTCTCAAAAGCTACAACTGGGAGTGTGGGTTGTTTCAATGGAGTGACAGTTTGCGTTGGGAAAGATCTGCACTTCAAATTGAATAATGACTCAGCTGTAGCTCTGCTTAAAGAGCTTCGGCTCTTTGCTGCGATTGAAGGTTTGAACAGTCAATCATCTGCGAATGAGGTGATTTTGTCAACTAAACATGATGATTCGGAAATAGAGGGGAATATGTAGTTAGGAGTGGTTGATGTTCCTTCTCAGCAGCACTGTTCTAAAGATTCTTTTTTCGGGACGGATTTTGATCAATTTGAAGTGGATTTAATGGAACCTCTGGCAGTTGTGCGGCCAGATTGTTTGGAGACAACCACTGATCTGGGCATGGAATGGGTTATTGACAATATTGGAGCAGTAAGTGAAGCTTTGGGTCTCTCTTCAAAAGGTTATGAGGAACAAACCTTGTCTATTCTTCACAAAATTGTTGCAGGAATTGGTAGTACTGAACCTAATCGTGGCACAAAAGAAGTCAAAGTCAGAAATTCACATCAGAAAAGCGAACAGGAAGTGAAGAATCTAATTTCTTGTGTTAATTAACGGGAAGAATGGGACGACCAAAGAAAGGGGAAGAACCAGAAGTGGTAAATGGGGAGGAGGAGGAGAATTGATCGTTTTTGGTTCTACATGAAGCTACAACTTATAACATGGAATGTTCGTGGTCTAAATGATCCAAAAAGAAGAAGAGTTGTCAAGGTAGCTTTGAGGAAGTGGAGTGCTCATGTCGTTTGTTTACAGGAAACTAAGATGGCTGCTATCACCGTTGAGATTGTCAGGAATCTTTGGGGAGGTAGGTTTGTGGAATGGGAAGTGCTGAACGCAACAGGCACTTCAGGGGGTATTCTTCTCATGTGGGATCGTAGGTGGTTGTCAAGATTGAATTGTTGGAAGGGTATTTTTCTGTGTCTTGTTTGTTTTAGATGGAGGAAGACAATTTCAGATGGGTGTTTTCAGGTGTTTATGGGCCTGTGTTACTGATAGTGATAGACCAGTCCTGTGGGAAGAGCTTTGCTATGTTAAAGATTTATAGTCATTGCCTTGGTGTTTAGGTGGGGATTTTAATTCTGTTAGGTCCCCATTTGAGAGGTCCACAGGGGGCAAGTGGTCCTCAGAAATGACCATGTTTTCAGAATTCATTGATAGTAATTTCCTCGTTGATCTACCATTGGAAGGAGCGGCCTTTACTTAGT